TATATATATATATATTCAAGTTGAGGAACACCTGTGTTTATGCTGAAATATTTCCCACATTAAAAACATTTGCTGAATTTCTCTCCAGTCAGAATTTCTTTGTGATTGGCACATAATAAAGGTTCCTTTCTCTTATGAATCCTTTGATGTTGAGCAAGATATGCATTTACAGTGAAGGCCTTTCCACATTCCTTACATTGATAGGGGTTTTCCCCAGTATGCATCCTCTGGTGTTGAGTCAGATATGCACTCTGACCAAAGGTTTTCCCACACTCTTTACACTTGTAGGGTTTCTCTTCAGTATGAATTCTTTGATGTTGATTAAAGTGTGTACTTCTGCTGAAAGATTTGTCACATTTTTTGCATTTATAGGGTTTCTCTCCAGTATGAATTCTCTGGTGTTGAGTAAGATGTGTGTTCCATCAGAAAGCTTTCCTGCATTCATTACATTCAAAGGGTTTTTCTCCAGTATGGATCCTCTTATTTGAATAAGGGATGACCTAGGACTATAGGCTTTGCCACATTCAGTACATTCATAGGGTTTTTCTCCAGTATGTGTTCTCAGATGTAAAGTAAGCTGAATGCTCTGGGTAAAGGCTTTCCCACATTCTTTACATTCAAAGGGTTTTTCTCCAGTATGAATCCTCTTGTGTTGCATTAGAGATTAGCTATGACTATAGGTTTTACCACGTTCGGTACATTCATAAGGTTTCTCTCCAGAATGAGTTCTTAGATGCAGAGTAAGTTGAAAGCTCTGAATAAAGGCTTTGCCACACTGATTACACTCATAGGGTTTCTCCCCAGTATGAGTTTTCTGATGCAGAGTTAGATGTGAACTTTGGCTAAAGGCCTTCCCACACTGATTGCATTCATAAGGTTTCTCTCCTGTATGAATCCTCTGATGTTGTGTGAGGCATGTACTTTGGCTGAAAGCCTTTCCACATTCACCACACTCATAGCGTTTTTCTCCAGTATGAGTTCTCTGATGTAGAATAAGAGATGAGTCCCAGCTGAACAACTTCCCACATACACTACACTCATATGGTCGCTCTCCTGTGTGACATCTTTCATGTTGTATAAGGTGTGTTCCCCTGCTAAAAGATTTATCACAATCTCTGCATTTGAAGGGCTTTTCTCTAGCACCAAATTTCTGATATCTAATAAAACATGACTACCCTGGTGTTGAGCGAGATCCAAACCACAGCTAATGTATTTCCCACATTGATCACGTTTGTATGGCTTTTCACTTGTGTAGATTCTCTGATGATTACTTAGATCTAGGTTATGTGAAAAGATACTGTTGTAACTGTCATCTTTACACATTGCTTTCCCTGAAGGAATTGTACTTTGAGTAACAAAGTTTGATTGCTGTCTAAATTCAAATCCATTATCTTCACGAATGGTCTCCCGAGTCAGGATTTTCTTATGGGTAAATGCCATCTGCCCTGGATGGCTTTCTAAACAGCCAAGCAATTCTGGGACTTCTCTGGTGGAGTAACAGATTCTATTTCTTTTACTTTTATTGATTATCATGCCCTGGGAAAATTCTTCAGAAATTACTTGCTTCAGATTTGACTCTGCAGTTCTATATCTGGTCTTTTGGCCTGAAAGAAATTTTTAAAAATGGAGGATACTTGACTATTTAGAGAGACAAAAAGTGTGACCTAGTCAAAGCTACATATGTTACTATTACTTTTATACTTTGATTTTCCAGAGGTATGTTGCTTTGACTGATTTCAAATGTTATGTGAACCAAGAGCCACTGTACACAGGAGCAAGGAAGAAGTGAATAGGGACACACACATGGTTACAGGGGTGCTGGTAAGTGAAATGAATGAGGACTGCTGTTCTGGAATGACTAAAGGGGGCAAACTGGGACTGAGAATGGACAAGGGGGCAGCAATTAGGGGAATCATGGGAATAAGGACCAGCAGAAGAAAAGCAGATCAAGGTATAACCTGAAGTCACTGTGTGCCTGGGTCATTATGAAATGTCACCACTAATCTCTCAGCCTCTTCTCCTTATTTGTCCATCTGGTAAGCTGCCACAGTTAACTTCCCTGAAACACCAATTCACCAGGTCTGTAAGGATAGTTCTCTTGCACCCATTCTCCTGCTGCTTTCAGAGGCAACCCATGATCACTGTTGAATTGACTACGGAGGTCACAGAGTAAGCAAGTTATGGGCAAAAAGGACTCATGCAGAATCCAACACAGGTGAGGAGGTGTGAAAAGAAACAGAGGAGCCAGGCGAAGTGGGGAGTGATTATAAAGTCTTGCTGAAATTAATGCAGCAGGAAGCAGAAAACCATGGCGTGGATGCTGGCAGGTGGTGGACATTCCTAGTAGACTTACCTAACATTCAAGGTAGATTAAGAGGGAAATGATGGTGACCAAACAGATGACAGGAAAGGGAGGGAGGTGAAAGCAGCATCACTGACCACAGATGGGCTTCTCTTGAGAGGGCAGAATGCCTGGCAGCATGGG